GTATGAGGGTGTTACTATTCCTTGTTCTTATCGAACAAAGAACGATAACTTTCACACGACGAGAGCGAAGCACGATATCACTGTACAATGCACATGTTCTGCTTCTCTACATTAAGTATTTCTTTTCATTCTATCAGAAATGATTCATCCTTTTAAACTTAAACTGTATCTAGTTGATTCTTTCAGAAATGAATTCTGTCTAAGTCTCTAGTAACAGAAATAGCGGTTGTAAAATTACTAAATATAATAATTTAAGTCGAGTTTCACATTAATATAGAATTATTTATTGAGATTATTTTATCTGAGTTCTTTTTCTTGAAACTAAATTCCGTGTGTGAATGAATGTTCTTGAAAAATTAATTATTACACAAACACTATCATTGAAATATTCCACTTTTTACCATTGCCATTTTTTTATTTTGTTTGTACAATTTGCACTCCTAAAAACATTTGTATAATTCAATAGAAACAAGAATTAAAAAAAGTAGTTAATAGACAGATAATATCAAATACTTGTGAATTATGTTTAAGACATAGTATTTATAAACTTGTGATTTCTAGAAAAATCCAGAATATCAAGTTTTCAAAACAAAAAAAAAAGATTTAATATCTTATAATATGTAAAGAAACTAAACATACTCATTTGTACTTAATATTAAACAAAAGATATCTGACTTTATATTTTTAATCCAAAATAAAAACGACACATATATAAAAATACATCATGACTATTGATGGCAAAAGAAAAGGTAGACTAGATAGATTAGAAAGAGAGAAAGGCAAAATAAATAAATAAACAAATTGAACTCTTTAGTCATCTGTATCGATAATATCAACATTATCGTCGTATTCAACGACTGCTAATTGAACGTTGAAATTTTTTACATTTGTACCATAAGCATCCATTGAATTATCACTTTGAGCATTATTTTCCCCAGATTCAATAGCACCAGAACCATCTCGTTCAGTTACAGAACCGCAACTTTGCCTAAAAATACGTGTCAGTTAAATAATTTAGAGAATCACAGATATTAAAGAAAGATAAACACTTAAACCAACCCCCGATACAAAAGTAAGTGCAGAAATCTGCAGACATGGTTATCCGCCTAGGAACATCGTAGAAAGTTATTTAGCTTTCTGGTTGCACGAGTAAAGTCTGAACTTCAAAAAACAAAAAAAACAAGTTTTTAGGGCTGCGTATGAGTGAGAAAAACTTCAAATACCAAACATCACTAATTACACTAAGAAGAAAATAACTAATTAGACTGATTAATAAACTTCAGATACTCACGAGGGAACGTTCCCAACTGTCAGATCGCTTTCCAGCCAAAACCAAGTGTAATATAGGTAGTCGACCATGCTAGTTCCAAATATCAACATGAGACGGACAGCTAGGCCTCTGAAGACTAGTTTTCTGGAAAACCAGTTTTTCAGAAACTCTTAAAAATAGAAAAAACCTTTCTTAATGAGTCATGATTGTAGTCCGCACATTTCTAATTAAAATGAGACATCTCCCAGCTCTATACGACTTTTCTTTGCAAAGTTATAGAATTTACAAGAAAGGCCCTAAATTAATTTCGTCTTACTTCTGTAGCTTTGAGCTGACAATGAACATTTAGGGCTGTTGTTGTAAATTCTATAACTTTGTAAAGAAAGTAGAGCTGGGAGATGTCTCATTTTAATTAGAAATGTGCGGATTACAATTATGCCTCATTAAGAAAGGTTCGGGTTATTTTTAGATTTTATGAAAAAGTGGTTTTCCAGAAAACTAGTCTCCAGAGGCCTAGCTGTCCGTCTCATGTTGATATTCGGAACTAGCGTGGTCGACTACCTATATTAAACTTGGTTTCGGCTCGAAAGGGATTTGACAGTTGGGGACGTTCCCTCTTCAGTACATTTCTTCTTTTTTCTAAAACGTATTTTCTAAAACATCATTCAATTCTGTACAAATTCACATTAGTTTTAATTTTTATTAACATGTCTTGAGTCATGAATAATAAAAGTTTCTCATTGCCTCTTATTTTCCATGCAAAGAGGTTCTTTCTGCCAGAACGGAGACTTCGAATGCGTTTTCCTCACTGTTAAAGAATCGCTGAGAAATTTTCTAAAATAATAAGATCGATAGCATTTTGCACGAGCTACTTTCGCATCTATTTGGTTTTCATGAAAACGTTTTTCTTTAGACTCTAGTAAAAAAATAAAGAGAAAATTATCTTGCAAGGGCTTATTTTAGTGATGTTTTTAATATTTGAATTTTTTTTCACTCAAACGCAGTTCTGAAAATTTTGTTTTTTATCTTTTTTTGAAGTTCAGACTATGCTCTTTCAATCAGAAAAAGAATGAACTTTCTACAATATTCTTAAGCGGAGAACCGTGTCTGCAGATTTCGGCAATTACTTTCGCGTCGAGGGTTATCTTAAGAGATAAGGCGAGAATTCTTGTTAGGTCCTTAATAATGTTCTTTTATCGACTTCAACAGAGTTTTCGAAGTCAATAAGGACTTCATGAATACATACCATTTACCACGTTTTGATATTATTCCAACGTCAGTGATATGGCGTGCTGATACTGAAACAACAAATGATGAAAACAACATCTATACAGAAGTATATAATTTCTATTTACAATTGGACGATCGTTGATTTGTGGTTAATAAACGTGCTTGAAATGGTAATAAAACAGTAAAATATTCTTCAGTTGAACATCCATAAGCTAAATAAAAATAAAATCTTAATATTATTTGAAAATAATAATAATTTTTCTTTATATACATAATTTATTTGACATCAACATTGTTCGACTCTTTTGTGCCTAAATAAAAAGAAAATAATTCAAACTTCGTCTAATGAATCTATAGATATTACACAATAACTAACTTTTAAATATACAGTTTTGTCTTGTGGTTTTCGTATTGGTTTAAATCCACGACGAATTGGTTTTGAATTAAAATATCGAACAGCTCGACAAGCCATACTCGATGTCACTGATGTAAGAATTGATCGAGTCTATTAAAGAAAAAAAAAATAGCTATAATAGGAAAAGTATCTTTAACAAGATTTTTTTTATTGAGTATCAAAAATTTATCTTACCGACCATTCTGTTAATATTTGATCAGAAAAACTTAGATAATCACAAACATTGCCTACATCATCAATAGATGAATAAAAATCAATATAATTTTCAAATAAAAAGCCAATAAATCCCATTGGTGAAATATGACATTGATCAATAAGATCCTAGAAGGAAAAACAAAAGTTTTATACATAAATACTTGTAAATATATTTTTTCATACTTCTGGTGGCTGTCTGACACTCGGAGTTGCATGTAGTGTTGACTCTGAAGAACTTTCATTTAAATCATCTTCGCCATCTAGAAAATAAATATTCAATAAAATTTTGAAAACTTTTAAAATATAAATATTAACTAACCTTTTTTATATAATATTCTTCCAAGAGCACGAAATAATGATAAAGATGAATCTTTTGATTTCACAGTTGATTTAAGTTTTGATTGACCATTTGATTTTAACTGTACAATATTGTTACCTAGATGAAAAACAAACATTATGATTGATCATATCATATTATTAACGAGATGACATACTCGAAAATTGCAATGAATTAATAGCTGAACGAAGATCACCATTCGATGTTATAATTAGTTCAGGAATACATTCTTTTGATGGTGGACTCAAGTTCTAAAGAATAAGAAATAAAAAAAGTAATTAGTTACATTACGCTGTTTAGTTTGCAATAATTGCCTTCACCTTTTATATTAAAATAGCAAAATGAGACGAACGTTGATAGAAATAATTCAAACAACAACGTGTTTGGAGTAAAGTAGAGACAAAAAGTTTAACAATAAACTTGTTTTTGTTCTTTCTCGTGCATCATAGAAGCTACAATAAATATTCAAAAATAGATTCCTCTGACTTTGGTAAAATTTATTATAGCTTTTGTGATGCACGAGACAGAGCAAAAAACAGATTTATTATTAGACTTTTTGCCTCTACTTCATGTATAGATGAGAAAAGATTGAAGGATACGACAAGAAATCTTAATAAACAGTCTGGATCTTTCATCGATATCATTCTACTTAGCATCTTGCAGATTCTAAGAAAAAATCATCAAAACAAAATAAACTGCAGATTTAAAGGCATAGTTTAATACAAGAAGTTTATTTTCTCGATTTGTGTCTGTTTCATCATGATATTTTAGATACTAAGCTGTCAAACATACAAGTTTTGATGCTTGTAATAACACTGATTCGAGAGCTTTTTTCATTAATGTTGGTGCTATTGGATTAAAACTGAAAATAAAAAGAGAATTGAAAGATCATTGAATAATATACTCAAAATAAAAAACAATTTATCTACCTGATTTGTTCAATTCTCAATTCATCGATAATTGTTTGTGGAAATAACAGTTGTGGATTATTCAATGTTGAAAATGAACAATTGTCAGTTAAAACAAATACAATTGGTGAACGAGCCAAATGATTGACATCTCTGAAGAGAAAAATTAATGAAGTAAATTTATCATATTTTGTTAGAAAAACAAATACCGTAATATTGAATGAAATGCTGCAACATCAGTATAAAAAGCATTTGGAAGATCCTAGGAAATTAGAAGAAGATTAATATTATTAGTAAATGAGTAAATTCTTGTTATTCGAGAACAATGAAAAAGAGATATTTTCTATCTGTCCAATTGTTTCAAAAACAGTTCTCTTTTTATCTATATATATCATATCCAAAGTCGTTTTTTGATTTCACAAATGCACCTTATTTTGATTATCTTGTTTGTTTCAGTAGAAGTTTTTACGCAAATCAAAAAAAAAAGTTTCATCTTTAGAAAAATTAAAAACAAATAAATATCTGGACAATCAATGGAAGTAAGTATAGTAATGAGACGGTCGAAAGCTGATAAATATGTAGGTGAAGTGTACTAACTAAAGACAAAAGTGCTTAGAAGATGAAATTTTGAACAGAACAGATTAGTTTCTATTATTAGTGGATCTTTTTATTCGTATTTGTCTCAGATGTTGATCCCAACTTTTCTTATGTTTGTAAGGAAAATACATCTTATTTTTGTTTTTTCTCGAATAAATAATCTATTAAATAATCGTTAACACGTGTTAACATAGCACTCTTCTTCTTTTTTTCNTTTGTAAGGAAAATACATCTTATTTTTGTTTTTTCTCGAATAAATAATCTATTAAATAATCGTTAACACGTGTTAACATAGCACTCTTCTTCTTTTTTTCTCCGCTCACTTTACTTTACTTCACTATTCTACCTTGAATTTATCTTCAGGAAGAAAATAATACAAAAAAGTAAGTAAACAATAATTTTTGTTTTAAACAAGTAAAAAAATTCTTTAGTATTATTATCTAATTATAGTCAGCCAAAACATGTTCGACAAGTCTTATCTTTTTTTTACATAATATATTCTCACAAGTAACTATAATTCACTTCATATTCACATATTTTTATACAGCGTAAACACCATGAACTCTATTAATATCTTATTGATATTATTTTTTGTGACGTTTTTTGTTGTCAAAGGCCAACAAGATGATTGGAACGGTGATACACTTCTTTGCACACCCGAAACAAGCCAGGGTCAAGTACCACCTGGCGTTACATTTCCGAGATTTCCAACCAAAGCTCAATTTGCTTTAGAAAGTGTTGAAATAACCAGTACGTACGGTAGTACTGAACACCTTATTAAGCAAATGATGCTTGAATATTTTTACGATTACGAAGCAAATTCACTTGTCGTCCTCAAGAATGCAAATGGTATAATTGATGTAGAATTCTATTATTATAATATTCTTAAAAAATCAACTTACTATAGAGGTTCATATTGTAATGTAACTAATATTGAAAAGTATAAGATAACTGATGGTTCATCGGCAATTGATATCGGTAACATACCACATCTTCGACCTATGGAACAATTTTTATTATTCAGAAGTGACAGTCCAATAGAGGGTAATGTTTATCCAAAATATCTAAGAGGCGACACTGTTCGCGGTATTTCCGTGGACGTATGGGAATCATGCATTGTCGACAAAGCAACTCATCGAACAATTAGACGTGAATGGTCATTTGCCAAACCAACTTATCCTATGCCAACAGGAATTTTAACAACAGCAGTTCCTATTCAAGCTCTTATCAACACAACATTAATGCTCAATGGAACAATACGTTTAATAGAGGTTGATGAAATATACAATGTTCTCTCCTACAAACCGGGAATTATCGAACGTGCCGATGCTTTTCATCCACCACCCGGTGTGTTTTGTGCTGGACTTGGTGAGGAAAATTTATTTGCTTTAAACGATAAAGGTATTAGATGGCCAGAGAGAGGCTTTAGTGTAAGAGTTGATGCTACAACATCAAAACAAACACAATGGCAAACATTTCATTTACGTATGGAGAGAACTTTCCGTGAACGAAAATTGATACGTTATGATTACAAACCATTAGGTGATGACTTTGAATCAGTCATCATAGATTATGGAAGTAGAGTTAAATATATTATTGATCGTCAATTAGGTTCATGTAGAATTGACAACAGCACTCAGTTTCGACCATTAGATATCCTTAGATATCCAATTGAATTTTTTATTAAATACGAACATCTTCTAATTGATGAGGAACCAACTGAAAAACGTTTTCAATACAATGGCTTACGTCCATGCCGTGGTAACACAATTGAATGTATCATTGTGACAACGTCAGTCGACAATTTTCCAGAAATACCAGCAACTGAAGAGTCATGGACTGTAACAAATGTTGAATGGGCATGGTCACAACGAAATCCTGGTGCAATACCAGACTGTCAACGACCACCATGTGTGGCCCAATTTGATTATCCAGTGCACTTATATTTGAAATTATATCGTATAGCACCCGAGCACGAAATTGGTTATGAAACAGAAGATGTTCAATTTGATTTTTACGAATTTAATCACGATGTTCATGAAGAGGAATTTGATCCATCAATATGTTACCGTTCAAATGATTTGGATTATTTACATTTAGCATTTAATCTTAAAGTCACAAAAAAAGATAACATAATTGAAAACACCCAATTGGATCGACATGATCTAATAGAACATGTACGACGAACTGCAGCATCGGTCATGGATGTACGACAATTACGTATATCAAGATTAGAAGTTGATCATGATGAACAAGATGATATTGCCTATGTTATGTTTACATTATTGGGTAAAACTCCATTTAATGATAATTCAAATGAACCAAGTGTTGAGGACGCTCGCGCAAAATTACAAACGGCTATCGATAAAAATGAATTCAAATTTAATGTTACCATATTAAATGTTAGTAGACATGAATTAACAGCAACTCCCAAATCTCTGAGTGATTCAAAACAATACATATCATCACATTCAAGATTAAATCGAAAAAAAACTGTCAAATATACATCTGGATCAATAGCTGGAGGTATTCTCGGCGGTATTCTTGTTGGTATGGTATTAGGTATAATTTTACTAGTCGGTATTAAACATTTAAAACATGAATCATTACCAGCAACTGCACGACTAACATCAGCAATTACTTCGCCATTTCATTCTCGAACACACGCATCAACACCATCATCAACAACAAATGCAAAAAGTGAAACAACTGCTTAAACATTTATCTTAGCATTCAATTTTTGCTTTTTTGTAGTACTTTATTTTCTTCTCTTGTTTCGAATATATTTAAAAAACAAGTAAATTTAACTTTTTTGACTGATGATTCAAAATATGATATCAATATCAAGGATTTTCAGTCAATCAATATTGAAAAAATACAATTTTAATTCGCTTCGTGATTTTCTTTTTTTGCATCTCATGCTTCGAGAGACTAACTTTTCTCATTACTGTTAAGCAAATAACATTAAACAGAAAACTTTTATATACCAAAAAAGTCCAAACAAACATAAACAGCTATCTTTTCGTAGATCAATCCAGAGAAAGATGTCTTACATCCACACTGGTGGCACGCTAAAAATATTTTCGTGTTTATTTGTGTAGAAACCATACTGAGAATTTTATTTGAAAAGTTAAGAAACATCCGTCCTGCATTGAAATTAGCAATATTATCGACTAATTCTTATCTCTGCAATACGTTTTTTCAAGACCTGTTTGACTCTAGGTAAAAGAACTAGAATAAATAATACAAGAAGTCATATAATTTTTCGTTAACAGTGTTTGCAGCATCAAATTAATCAAACCTAAACTAGGATGAACATTAGTGGATATCTTAGAATCACTATAGCACCGTGACGTTGCATCGGATCATAAAGCAAATTTTTTTCCAGCGTAAGCTTATCCTATAAGCTAGTGATTAGGGGTGGCACATTATTGTTACTTTTACGAGTAATCCAAATATTGTATATATTCCTATTACCAGTAACAGTAATACTTTTCAGTTGTACTGTTGCTGGTAATAGGAATGTTCATCAAATTTGTACCAGCAGCAGTAAAACTAAAAAGTGTTACTATTACTGGTAATAAGAATATATACAATATTTGGATTATTCGTAAAAGTAACAGCAATGTGCCCCCCTCCCCTACTAGTGATTGCTATTTTTTGTGCTAATAACCAAAAAAAATTAATCTAGACAAAGGTATATGAGTTTCAAGTTCGCTTTACATAATCATCTGTAAAAAGGAATAAACATGTATTATTACCTCTATCAGAACAATTTGATATTTATGTGAAGTTTTTGGTAATTGCTCGTTTGTTCTCAAATTTTTCTGAATATCACTTTCGAATAAAAGTGAATTACCAACTGATGATGATAAATAACGAGTTGATTGAAACAGAAATGATCGAAATAATAATTTTTGTGATTCCCAGTCTTTTGTTCGATCTTCAAAGAAACATAAAAATTAATCAAATAAATAAAAACAATATGTTCTATATACCTTTATCTTCGATTGTTGTTGTCAATGTTGATGTTGTACTCGTTTCCCAATCAATAATATTAGCATCCAATGAACTGGCGATGAGTCTAATGCATATGGATTTACCACAACCACACGGTCCTGTACATAAAATAATTCGACATTTCTAAACAAAAAAAAAGACTACGTTATGTCATCAAATTATATAAAAATGACAAACCTTTGTTTGTATGAGACAGGATCGTAATTTATCTTCAACTTCTTTTATTTTCTTTGAGTGAATAGCTAATGTATCCTTTGTTGTTGGTTCAAATAATTTTAACCAAAGTTGTTCATCAGCTGTTGTTTGTGATGATGGCCGAACACTACTAATATTACTGCTGTTTATTTTCACTAAACGTCCTTTATTTACTAATGGTTTTTTTGTTGATGAATTCAATTTTTGTGGGTTGAGTGAAGTATCCATCTTTGGTTGATCAAATAATTGAAATATATCACGTGGAAAGGTAGTTGACGAAGAGACATCAGATTTGAATCGTTTTATTTGACTTGATGTAGTTAAACTGTTTATACCTGAGACAGAAGGGGGACGACGAGACATGATTGCTAGTTTGTTAGAGTTAAATCTAACCAAAAGATAATAGATGAAGCATTTTTCTACAACATCAAAACAAGTAAGTGTTAACGTTTGCGCAAAACACATGAGATTATGGAAATTTTCAAAACTTCAAAAACAATATTTGATAAAAATTCATAAAATGATTTCAATGGTTTTAGATCGACAGAAAATTACATGCAGTGCATGAGAACGATGGATTCAGCTATCGCGTACGTAACTCAATTAAAAAATTCTAATGGTGGACAGTAAACTTTCCAATATGAACTGTTTGCAGAATACATATTCGTAACATTGTATTGATAAAGACGCAATTACTACTTTAAAAAGATATTTCCTGTATCAGTGGCGGACCAGAGTCTGTTTTTTTGGTGTGGCAATAAATTTCGAAAAGTATCAGTAATGAACAAAAAAAAACCGCTTTTGAAACTAAGAGCACACTCATGTGGTTGCACCAATTTTTGATGTGGCAATTACCATACCTCGCCATCACGTCGACCTGCCACTGTCCTGCATCGATTAGAATGTCGACTAGAAAATTCACCCTTGGCACATCGACATAAGTAAGAGTAAAAAGTTTTAACAAATTCTAAAAGAAGCAAGACCAAAAAGGCACCAAATGATTTTTTCTGAAAGAAGAAAAGATTGTTTAGTTTGCTAAGGGTAGTAACTTCTAAGAAAAGCAACTCCGAAGTAGAGCTAATATAAGAGTATGGTAGTAACAAACGACCAAATCGATCCAGCGGTAGCGCAAGCGTGGTTCTGTACGAATATTTAGCTCTAACCGTATAGGTACAATTTAACGAATGAGAGCATTAACATTAGAGGGCGACAGTAGCGAATAAGCCACAAGTCGGTTTATAATGAAGGAGAACGTACTTAAGCAGGAAAAAATCTTAAAGTAACTGTCGTCTAAAATAGAACATAATTTTAAACTATTGACATCATCTAAGAATAGAGACATCTAATGATCCGCTCATACGTTGAAGGTAACTGTCATAGATCAGCATTAGAGTTATGGAGATGACATTCATTTTCTACTATTTTTAACTTTAGTTAAGAATGTCATGATTCAAGTCTGCCTATTCAAATGCTAAAATGCCTGTAATAAAGTTACAAAAAGAGTCCAATTTATGGGATCAAATATGTGCTGAGTTTGCTGCAAAGCGCTCGTTAACTGAAGAAGATGATATAAGAAAACAACCACTTGACAATGTTAACATTGATCAAGTTTATTATGATCCTTCCATTCATTCTGCGGTATTTTGTAATTATTCTCATACAGCCGTACCCATCGATGATCCTAGACAAATTCAGTTTGATCCACAAATTTCACATCCAGCTTTAATCGGATATGCATTAAATCCAATTGAAAATGTTGAGAAACCGAGCGACGATAAAAAATCTGTCGATACCAAAATTGCTCCTACTCCAAAACAAATGCCAACAATTGATTATCTTGAAAAACTTGTTTACCCAACCTTATTACCGGCTATTGAACAATTATTAATTGAAGCGGAAAAAAATAAATGTCTTGAACGAAAACGGTGTGCATTTAATGCATGTGACTTTCTTACACGTTATTTATATCATATGAATCAAAATCGGTTGAAAATTGATGATAAGAAAGAACAACAGAAACCTTCACGTATACTCTCAGAAACAATGACACTTGAAGAGATACCATTTGTTCGTACACATTTAGAAAAATATCCTCGACCACCATTACCAAAATCATTGATATGGACTGAAGAGGAAGCAGCATTGAAAATTCAATCTTATTTTCGTGGCTATCGTGTTAGAAAACAATCTGATATTCAAGAACTTCGTATTTGGCAACAGGAATGGAGGGATATGGGAAAAGATATTCATGAAGTTGTAAATGATTTTTGGGAACATCAACAAAAACGAAGTTTATCATCAAATTGATTATTTAGATACGATAATTGAATATAATTTCGCCAATAAGACGTCGTCATAAAGTACAATTCTACTGCTCACTCGGGATGTTTACAGACGACAGATCAACAAGCAACTATTTAATTGAAACAAAACTTTGAGCTGATTAAAAAGTTTTTCGTATTTTATAATGCTTCTATTCTTATATCATTTTTTATTGAGTCAAAAATAAATATAGTTTGTGTGTGCGTATAAGTGCAGATTGTAAACAATAGGAAACAACGACAATAAAAAATAAAATTCACCAAATAAATAAGTTACACAAAAAAAATGAAACAAAGACATTGCAACGAGGTATTTCTAGTAAGCTTTAAAAATAACGACAAATTATCAACTATTATTTATTGTTTCTTACTCCAACCTAATCTTCAAAATAATGTCGTAGAACAGGTAAATTTAGAAAAATGACCAATGAAAGACATATGAGCAGAAGATTCAATTCTAGTTTATAATTACTCATTAAGTTCTAAAAGTTTTAGGACAATAGTGTTTGATTTTGTTGGGTTATACATATTTTATTGACACAAATCTCCCATGGAAGAGAAGGATCAGTACAAATTAACCAGTGCGAGTGTTCACTATTGTTTTTAGAACTTGAAGGTCTGTTAGAAAATAGTCAGAAATTTCAAGTTTGACGAACAAAACAACATTTTTTTATCATTAACCATACGCTATTAGCAAATTTATTTTTCGAAGGTATTTTGGAAAATATTGTCAGAAAGTGTTTAAATCTGAGGGAAGTTTTTGTAACTGTGTTTACTTTTGAATACTTAGTTCTTGAGTTCTATTCTACCATTTATGTGCGAGCGATTTTTGTGCTATGCTTTGTTTCTACTCTTCGCCGAATTCCACTATGTTTTTGCTCTTATGCTTTACGTTCACTGTAAGATTTGACAATTTAAAACCGTGCTGGAAATATTTTCGAAAAAAACCTGAGAAAGTCATTCTGTCAACAAATAAACAATACAGTAATACTTTTCGAAATCTGATAATCGTTTATGAAAATGGTGTCTTGTTATTTTGGAATAATTTTAACTATCACATACTACTTATCATTGTTTCACTTCTGTTATGATATACGCACTTATATAGTTACGCATACTTCCAGATTTTTTTTGTAATAGAACAAATTGAGAATTTTAGGTAACAACCACAAAACCGTAATCATTATTCGTTGGTCCATAGGTCGACAATTCGTGTGTTGATTTAGCAAATGCAGGATTAATTGTTTGAGTATACTGTTGCTGTCCTGGTCTTATCACTGAAGTTGGTAACATCGGAGGTAGCATTGCGGCTGATGCTTGAGCTGCTCCACTACCACCACCCATGGTTTGTGATTGTAGGAAATGATGTGTTTGCCGTCTCAACCAATCATCTTTGAAAATATGAATAGTTAATATTTGTACAACATTTGCTAATTTGTTCCAAACGTGTGCAAGTACCAGCTGTTCGTCAGCATCTCTCCTAAAATCAAATAACACTCAGAATGAGTTTGTATTCTTCTATAATCTATATATAAAACAAATAAATTTGAACTTACCTACATCGTACATGCAATGAACCAACTAGTGTACCAAATGATAATGCCCAAAAATGTTCATGTCTAAATTCTAGTACACCATCTAGCCTCGACGCTTCATGTAAACATTTATCTAATTGTGAAATCATCGGAGCTGGTGTAGTTTGCAACAGAATTTTTCCACTATAATTACTCATGGGTACCATAGTGCCGAATGTCATAAATGCCATCAGCAACGACGACAATGTATCAACAAAATTTCCGTAACCTAATGATAATAAAAATGAATTAATAAACATAATAAATAGACCGCAGCAACCCAATAATGTAAATGGATTAATACGTGGTAATAACAATCGACTAAGACCCGGTACAATATGGCAAATATTTTGACACATATCACTGACATGTTCTTGTAACCAGCTTGATGATGATGCAGCAATAACATGATCAAATGCCTGATTGGGAACAAAATAAATGACAATAAAATGAACAATAAATGTTATGAACGACGCTGGCATTAAATAGTTAATATTGATGGATTCATTTTCAATAAATTTTTCAATTGATTCTTTCAGAATAAAAAATGCACCCAAAATAGATAACATTGTAGAGGTAAATACGGCTAATACTAGAAGTAGATAAAGATATTAATGCATCTGAATAAACCTTTTAACAATCTGTTTACCTTCAAAACGACCTGTTCCATACGAGAATGTTGAGCTTGTCGGCGTAGGAACGAATAATGATGTTGCTGAAGTTGACGTTTGTAATGAAGATTGTTGTTGTTGATGCTTATGAATTTTGTTTGATTTTGTTGTCCTTACATGCCATGATGAAAGTAGTGCTGTGCCAATAAATAACAAATCAAATAAGCATAATGAACAGTAAGCTTGTAATGCCATAGAGTCGGCTTGACCAGCCATTGTAAATACGAGAAGACATGCGATTAATGTTGTTAAAGTGATTACAATTGTGCTACGAGAATGAGTCGATTTTAATAAATAAATGAACGATTTTAACGTCGACGACAACAAACTGAACACCATCTGAAATAAACAGAAACAATAGTCACCTTAACAAATAGACGAATTCTGTGGAATACCTTGTGACAGAATGTAATTTGACATTTATGAACTACGTTATTAGAATTTTTTACCTGAAGTTAATGAGAAGATTTTTTCGTTAGATAGAGTGAATAAACAAGTTAGCGACTTATGTCATATTGTTTCTTTTCCGTATCGTTCACGACCTCATTAAAAGCTTCGTTCAATAGCATGCAGTGATAGAAATTGTCTCATAAAAAATAATACTCTGTTCTTCGTTTTTATTTCATACAAAACAATAGCTCTAAAAAATTGAATTGAAAAATGAATTAACACAACAAACTTAAATGGAGTATGAAGAAAATTGCGCACAAGTTTGAAAAATAATCTACATGATAAAAGTGAAAGTGCGACTAAAGTAAATGAGTATTTGACAGTAGTCGTATTCGTTAAGTCGTTGCACTTATTAACCTATAAAGAAAAAGTAAATTGTAAAACCATATTCAGTATAAAAAGCTCTAATTGAAAAAGTATAATGTCAGTCACTGCGGATTAAAAAACAAACAAACGAGAAGAGACTAAAAATCTTCAGATCAAATAAAAAAGGATATATTGTTCTCAGTTTGTTCATTACCAGAGAAAAACCAAACTGTTTCAATAAAATGAAAATTCTTTCGAAGTTACTAATAATAAGTATCTTCAATACTCATGCGAAGTGTATAAAAAACAAAACTAATTCATTATGTATCTAAGACTGAGCGAATATTATCAGACAGAAATTTAACTGACTATTTCATTCAGGATTAAATTTTAAACAACAAAAGACTAACGAGGGAACCTCCCTCAATGCACTCTCGTTTTTTTAACGAAATGTAGTAGGTTATAGGTAGTTGACCATGCTGATTTCGCATATGATATTCATTTGAGTTCATAGGCCTTTCATAGCCGATTTCTGGAAAACCAGTTTTTCAGAACCTCGAAAAATCTCTAAAACTTTTTCTAAATAAGTCACGATTGTAGCCCGCGAAATTCTCATCAAAATGAGACGTCTCCCAGCTCTACACGACCTTTCTTTGCAAAGCTATAGAGTTTACAGGAGAAGCCCTAAATGTTCATTGTCACCTTAGACCTACAGAAAGAAAATGTAAAGGTGAATTTAGGACTTCTCCTGTAAACTCTATAGCTTTGCAAAGAAAAGTCGTGTAGAGCTGGGAGACGTCTCATTTTGATGAGAATTTCGCGGGCTACAATCGTGACTTATTTAGAAAAAGTTTTAGAGATTTTTCGAGGTTTCTGAAAAACTGGTTTTCCAGAAATCGGCTATGAAAGGCCTATGAACTCAAATGAATATCATATGCGAAATCAGCATGGTCGACTACCTATAACCTACTACATTTCGTTAAAAAAACGAGAGTATATTTGGGGAGGTTCCCTTGTAAAAAGTGAAAACAATACTAATATCTACGATGTTTCAATATTGTGGAAAAATGGTGTCATGCATTCAAATATTTAGATGTAATATTATCCGTAAACGGTTCCGATCACATTCAAAATAAATCACCCTGGAGAACAAAATGGCAAACAAAATGGCAGAAACCATTGAAAAATTCGATTAATAAACACTGAAAATACAATAACTGAGTGAAAATCGATGACTGTATTGATGTATAAATTGACTCATATGATAAATACGTTTGTAAACGTTTGTATGAGTCATAGCGTAAAACGAAACATAATACTAGCCCACTAACATGAAAAATGGTGTTAATAGATATAATACAATGAAGAATCACATTATATCATTAACACAAAATAGAAAATTTTTAATTTTAGTTAGATATCGTTTTATCTTCTTCTCACAAACGACCCAGTTGAATATGTTTCCAGTGTTTTTAGTGACCTAGCGTACCAGTACGTACACTGAGAATTAGAGATACACTCTGTTTTACTTTGCTTTCGCTGTGAATACTTATTGTTTTCTAATGGAATTTGTTTCTACATCTAGGCTAAAATCAAAGAACTTTTGTAAAGTGATAAGGTATATTAACAACAAGAAGAATAGTAACTCTTGTTAAAGATAAACAGTTGACAATGAGGACAGAAGTAATGAGAAACCAATAACTATACATACACGACTTGATTTTCTGGTCTAGCTACCGTTCGTTTATCTCAACGTTCTTGTTCAGTTGTTTCAAACTTTTATTATAGAAACGGAAGTGTCGCACCGTGGAGTGATTAACTACCCATTAGTGGTGCAAGTTAACAGTTACAAAAAATAATAGTTCCCGTTCAGTTTGTAAATAGTCAGAGAAAAATAAGTGTATTTTTCTCTCTATAGGGCTATGATTTTCTGTATATGCAGATTTCGATGCAAAATATATTCTCAAAAAACAGATATAAGAACCAAATACACTTTATCCATTTTGTGAAAAAAAACAGCATACACGTACATGAAGCGAAAAACTTCCATTAAAAGTAGTAAATATCTCTGCGAGGAAAGATTTGAAGAAAACACAACCACTTCAAAGTATTTTGGTAACAGCTGAAAGATAAGTATTAGTAGCATTTGCAGGTTTAATCACCACCGTTTTCATGAAGAGATACTCAGTGAAGGTTAAAACTAAAAACTTCAGCTTTTTTTAGTCACGGTATGTTATTCATATACACGATAGCCAAATAGCGATACCATTGATGTCAGCGGTTACGCGTAACTTTCATGCTTAGCATACCGTGGACTGACGTTCATGTACGTTTCGATTGGCTGATTTATAGTCATCATACGGTGCAGAAGGACTTTACAGAGAATTTATGATAGACGGTAAATGTCATAAATGTCAATACTCTCATAGAACTACATTTTTAATTTTGGATACACTATGTTGCTTTAAGTCTTGGTCAAGCGACGTATATAGCCCTTTGAAAGTACATTTTTTTTATAGCAACTCTAATTTCAGAGGATAATATCCAATCAGAGCAAAGCAACGCAACAATAACATTTAGAAATCATATCGTAATCAATCGCTGGTTATCTAGCAAAGGGATGGTTATTATCCCTTTTCGATGAATTGAATCGTTACACCGTTCTCATGCAAGATGTTATGTCTGCACAGTGTTCATTTAATCAGTTTGATTAATTATCAAATGCGCGAACTTCTTTCTGATGTTTGAACAGACAAATGATAACGTCGTCTTTTTTCAACATTATTGTTTTTATTCTCTTCTAAATAGCTCAACAACGTGATTATACTACGTTTATGAATTATTTTTGCTTTCTAGATTGCATTGCAATATAATGCATTTGTTAACGAGTTGTTTGGTATTTCTTGTTCTAAGCATTCCACTTATTGTTTGTGATAATGACGACGACAATTTTGAAGATATTATTCCTGAAACAACAACTACAACGTCAGCTCCACTGATCGAAAAAGTAGGCAAAACTTTTTTTTAACATGAAAATGAAATTTGTGATTGTTTTTTATTCAAGGTTAATGTACCAGTAATAAAATCATCATCGAATAGTATTTATTTCGAAGATCAGTTTCAAGACAAGTCAAAGTAAGATATACTGTTCGATTTTGACAAATGTATCATATTTATTTATATTGAATTATAGATGGTCTCGTTGGGTTAAGTCACAAGCAAAAAAAGATGGTGTTGATGATACTATCGCAAAATATGATGGAGAATGGGGATTTGAAATACCAACAACAGCTGTCTATACAGATGATTATAGTTTAATCTTAAAAGTAAGCAGCAAAAGTTAACTGATAATTTATTGAATCTGGCTTTTCGCAATTGTGAAACCATCTCTTCTTTCTTCCGAACCTGAGAAAAAGCATAATCCTCCACTCTTTCTAAACTGTGAAACAGATCATCATTAAATACAAGAGATTAGACTATACGGAAAAGCTGATGGACGATTAGTGCTCATTTATACTATTATACCGTCTTTCGAACGATTGAATGATCTTGTATTATAGTCGAAAGCAAAACATCATGCAATAGCAGCACCATTATTAAAAGCATTTGATTTTCAAACAAGTCCACTTGTCATCCAGTATGAAGTTAAATATCAGACAAGTCAGGAATGTGGAGGTGCTTATATAAAATTATTGTCAGATAGTGATCCACTTGATTTGGTATGCCGATCAGTGTTCTTTAACATTATATTTGTATCAATACGACCTTTTTTCTTTTAGAAACAAGTTACTGATAAAACACCTTATACAATTATGTTCGGACCTGACATGTGTGGAGTTGATATGAAAGTAAGTGCGTTTTGAAAGCAAATGTGTTAAATATAGTCATCGTTCTTTCGTTTTAGTATCATTTTATTATTCGTTATCGTCATCCAAAAACTGGTGCTTACTCAGAACATCAAGCGAAAAAAACCAGCGAATCTCTTGATACATACTTCACAGATAAAAAGTCACACCTTTATACTTTGGGTAAGCTAATTGAAGTTTATTCATCGTGACAAAGAGCTCTGAGATCTTGTCCTTTTTAGTTTTATCGGCTGATAATAGTTTCAAAATGTATATTGACAATAAACTAATTAATTCTGGTAATCTTTTGGAAGACATGGAACCGGCAATTATTCCACCTAAAGAAATCTTTGATGAAAACGATATTAAACCATCAGATTGGGACGATCAAGAACGGTAAGTCTGAAAACAACTGAGAAAAATTTTTTGAAATAAAGTTGTACGGTTATTTTCTCTATTCATAGAATTCCAGATTCAACGGCGACCAAACCCGAAGATTGGGATGAAACTGCACCAAAACAGATCGTAGATGAAAGTGCAACAATGCCAAGTGGCTGGTTAGAACATGAATCTGCAACTATTCCTGATCCAGACGCTGTTAAACCTGAAGATTGGTAATGTCTCCGCGAAGAAAAGTCTAAAATAGTAAATAAAGTTAAGTTTTGCTTCTACTTATTTAGGGATGAAGATGTGGACGGAGATTGGGAGCCACCACAATTGGATAATCCAGTTTGTAAAAACGCTGTTGGTTGTGGATCATGGACTCCACCAATGATACCAAATCCGAAATATAAAGGAACATGGCGAGCACCTTTAGTAGAAAATCCGAACTATAAAGTATGTTTCTAGCGGTTCTAATCATTCAACTGGAATAGAAAAATAAAACGAGTTTAAAACTAACTGGTGTTTAAGAAATCGGATGAAGAGATCATCAACATGACTAAATCGTTAACGGTGTTTGTTTGATCGTTTAGGGTAAATGGGAACCACGCAAAATTTCGAATCCCGATTATTTTGAAGAAACGCATCCATACAAACTAACACCATTTAGTGCTGTTGCTCTCGAATTATGGTCAATGATTGATGGTGTTGTTTTTGACAATTTTCTAATTACATCCGATCAATCATTGGCAAAACAATACGGTGACACATTGTGGTATCTAAAGAGTTCATTAGAAGGCAAAGCATCGGCAGGTGAAGGCTTTGTCAATAGAGTGATTAATGCCACAAAAGCACGACCGTGGTTATGGGCATTGTATTTGGTTGTTATTATTTTACCCATTGTCATCCTAATTGCATTTTTCTGGTCAAGGAAGTCAAAAAAATCGGTTACAAGTGCTAGAGATGCACAAAAAAAGAAAACAGATGAAGAGACAAGTGATGATGTTGAACCAGGACAAAGAAATGAATTAAGAACATCGAAAACTTCAGAAGAGAATGTTGAAGGGCAGAATGAAGATGAGGAAGATGAAGAATACGAAAATGAATTGAATGACGAAGAAATACAAGATGAAACAACTACAACTACTAGTACAACAAGTGTAAAACAGAATGTTAAACTAACACCATCAACATCACAACAGCAACGAACAGGAAAAGAGTCATTAGAGAATGAATCCATAGAAGATGAAGACGAGAACGATGATAATGATCAGGTAACAGAAAATTCATCTATTTTTAGTCATTCATCCAAGTAATTTGCAATCATTTTTGGTTTTAGAAAAAGCATAATGCTGAAGATAGTAGTGGTGAAAAGAAACAATCGTCGACACCGTCCTCACCGTCCGCTGCTAAAACTAAACTACGCGTTCGTAGAGATTAGTAACCGATTGTCGCCCATATAAATGTCATTATGCTTTTCATTTTCTCATGTGTTTGATTGCTACTTGACAATTTTCAATAATTATGAGTTTGTTTTCTCTCAAAAACCTTGCGTTCTTTTTCTCTCATGATTGTTTTTGAATTGTGTTTCTTTTGCGCTTGTTCTAAAAACCCACCTTCTAAAATTCGTCTTCTTATGTGATTCAGGTCTGAACCACTCAATTTGTTTCATTTTTTACATGCATGCCTTTGAGGCTTTTTACTTTCGCATGCTAAAAAGGCTTCAGTAATTTTTTCTTAAAAAAAATGTCTTTGTTAATAAAATTTGATTATCTCTTTTTTATCTTTTGTGCACACTATGAATATTATAAAGCAACTAAGTCAGAACCTCCTTTTTCCTTGAATTTCATGTTTGTATTTATAGTTTATTATGTTTTTTTAAATCATTTCATATCACAACGTTCCATTTTATCTACTGCGTTTACGATCCTGTGATGATAAAAAGTGTTTTGTTTGTTGTTGATTTGCTTTATCTTTTCGTTTTCTGTTAGTCGCAAAAAAATGTGTGCAGTATATTGCATTTGTTCGAGAAAAAGCAAAAAAAGAAAAGATTCAAGAATGAAACATTTAAACGTTGAAATGGACAAGTACAATTTCCAGGAAATGATAATTAAGCTCATGGGTAATTTTCCGCATCCGCCTCCGCCTTTCCGCCTCCGTCACTTAGTAATTTTCCGCCGCTAGAAATTCCGCCTCCGCCTCCGCCCAAAATGTGAAGTTTATTTCTGTTCTAAATCGTTTTTGACTTAGAAAAATAGTATTTTTATGATCCCACAAAATTAGAAAAACATACTAACAGGAGAAAAAGTTGATTCAAGCTT